AGAAATGTCACTACTAAGATTAAGTCTGTCCTAGTGCATATGCCTTGTGATGTAATCATTATGTGAATATGTTTTTGTTTGTTTTTTTTAACAGGATTCCTGCCTCATTCAGGACACAGAATGGGCAGCAGTTATTTAATAATTCATGTTCTTCCCATTATCCAGTGTGTGGCCCCAAACCTTATTTTCTGAGCCCCATTCAACCCCTGTTGAGACAAGATTATTAATACCCTCATTCACCTTTGTAAAGCATTTATTGCTATAGCATTTGAGCATTTCACAAGTATTAATTAATCAATTAATTAATTTTCACAACTCCTCTCTGAAAGGAGGGAAAATTATTATTCCCATTTTTTCAGATGAGAACTGAGGCACAAAGAGATTAAGATCAAAAGTATCTATTAATCTTGCATGCCCATTATGAGACACTGAGAACCTGATTTATCAGAGTATTTGGCATTATACAACACTTTCTTTGTTCAGAGCACAGCTCCCCCTAACCACAGTTGCAACTATGAACATTCAGTGCTTCTGCACATCAGACCTCAGGATCTTAAGTCAGGTACCCACAAAAAAAGGAACACCATTAAATAAAAAAAGGAAAAGGTGCGAAGTGCTTTAATTAGAGCGGCTCTCGGGAACCACTCTAATCAAAGCACTCACAGCATTTTGTATATTCAGTTTCCCATCCTTCAGAATGCTGGCAGATATATTTTAACTAAAGCTCTTTCAACAAGCTTTAGTTAAAGCACCCCAGCTGCCATTTTGAAGCACAAAGACACTAAATACACATGATGCTGAAGCTGCTGGAGCATGTTAATTAGCATGCTCCAGCAGACTTGATTAATCAAGTCTACTCCAACATATCCTTATTAGCATGTGTCAGAACAGGCATCAGGCATATGTATAGGTGCCCATATGTTTTAATAAAAATGTATACAGAATATCTTTCAGACTCTCCAACTGCTCCACTTACACCAGAATCAGTTGGTCACCACTTCTCTGTAGTCACCTGGGACAACACAGCAGCTTTACCCCATCTCACAACACCATTATACAACTGCTTAGGACAGCAAACACATACCATACAGCAGAGGTTCCCAAACTGTGGTACACATGCTGCTGGAGGTACAAAAGATATTTCTGGGGGATACACGGGAGAAATTGTGCAATAGCAGATTTAATTTTAATTATAATAATAATTGGCATTTAAGGGGTTAAAATATAAAACCTCTGCTGGTAGGGGTACACAGGCAGCTGGTAAATCTGGAAAGGGGTATGCAATACCAAAAAAGTGTGGGAACCTCTGTTGTGCAGAAATGAAACTGTAGCAAAATGTAAGTAGGTAGAATATAGCTTGACCTGGCTAATGTTTGACCTAGACACTGGTGCTTTTCACACCTCAAATGAAAAACTCTGCTGCATGCTGCCTCCTAGCAATACTACATATAAAGGTATTGTTTTAATACTACCTTCCGGCTAGGGTATCCTGGAATATCTTTGGAAGTTTCCCCACCCCCACCACCCCTCAAAAAACTAACCAAGCCTAATCTTGCTTAGCCTCTGAAGGCTGACAAGAGCATACTGAATTGTAGCAAGCATACAGCCCATAACAAAACCAAAACAAATTTGTAAAAACAAATCGAAATAAACTGGGAGCAGAAAAAAATAAAGGTTGTTAAGAGCCAGGCTGTAGAATTGTTAATAACACTACTTAGCACCGCAGGTTATCCCTGTGAAGTCAAATGGACAGCTTCTGAAAGGAAGTGTTTGCTCATGTGCTTGAGGGTCCTAACTCAGTACGGCGTATTCAGGCAACTCGAGCAACACAGGCAGAAGTTAGCCTGAATGCCTCCTAGGACACAGCACACAAGGACCATAACACTTCCAGCCACACGGGGGGACAACATGTTCCCTAATCCGCACCACCCCATGATTCCTGGTAAGATACCTGAAGATACATGATCCTCTTCCCCATCCAACTCTACCTATTTTAAGTCTCACTCTCATGTGGAGATTCTTTGAGGTCAAGCCATGCCCCAAAACCAAGAAGTGAAATGGAGGATTAGAAAGGATTACAAATGTGCTGTTCGTTTGTAAACCTTGAAGCTGGAGATGATACCAAAATACCATGCTGCAACCAAACTCAACATACTTCTTGGATGCTCAGATTTCAAGCCAAGCTCTACCTTTAAGCACTGTCTATGACATTCATCTTTGTGATGGAATGAACCCAAATCTAAGATCCAAATTTCCCAAGCTTCTCAAAGTCTGTATCTGAATGTAGTGGCCTATCTGAATGATATGAATATCTCTACTTACATTCTGTCTGGAAAATCCCTTTGGGGGTTTCTAAGAGTAGGTCTGGGACAACAAATTCCTTATAGAAAACTGTTAATTATTTGTTTGAACAGAAGACCAAATCCTGGTGTTCCCACTCAGGCAAATTTCCCACTGGAATCAGGAAAGTGTTTCACCAGAGAAGTAGCACTTAGCCCAGAAGGTCTTATTAGCATCACTGCAAATGCTTACAGTGTAGCATATCAGTTGAGGAGCAGGCAGCTTATTTTAAGAACAGACCAGAACTCATCTACATTCCACCAATGCTGGGCAATCCTGACTTATTTCAGGCGTGGTATGGTGCCTCTTCTTCAGCAGTCACTAATTTTTCTTTATGCCCACTGCTCATTTATCACCTGACCCAGAGCTCTCTGAATGCAATGAAACTCTTTCCATTAAGTTCAGTCAGCTTTGGATCAGGTCCTTGAGCTATGTATGGCAGGAATATTTCTGACTTTCCCCTTCAAGTAATTAAGGCTTTCTTTGTAATTGATTTCGTTCAGTCTTATTAATGGAAACAGACAGATTTTCTGTTTCAGTAGGTTTTGTATTGGAATGGTAGGTTTGCTTCTCCTAGGACTGAGATCAGGCATGATCTTATGGTTGCTATAAGGGACTGAGAAGTGGTTCATCACTGTGGCTTAGTGCTGCAATTTTTCTCTCTTTTCTTACTTGTGAATATTCTGTTTTGAACCATGCTGACAACAGCCACAGCCAGTTCTGAAAATCAAAAACCTGAGTCAGAGCTCTTCTGAGCAAATGAATGTGCTCATCTTTATTTAAGGCAATCAATCTGCTACCTCCACGTATAACTAAAGATATAAAACTCTCTGGAGCCTAGTTCCTGCAAGGAGCTGAAAGCCCTCTGCAGTCATTAACATAGCATCTCCCAGCAGGTATTCAGCACCTCAGAGCATCAGACCTTCAGTTCAGTGAGGGGGTCCACACCTCCAGTCTAATTTCTGACTGTAATCAATACATCTGTCCACCAAAACACAGAAAGAGTAGATCAGACATGATCTCTCTTTGCGGCAGGTAGCTGGATATTCCATTATTTGGTGATCAGGGTGGCTTAGCAGCACCCCTGGATTGAGTCCCTGTTCTGTTGAGCATATCAGGTGGTAACCAGCAGAAACTGCTGTTTCTAGATTTGTTGCTCCACTCTGACTTTGAACTCAGATTCTGAGTAACAGGAGATCCTTCAGAATCTAGAAGACTCAGAAATGTTGTCCAGTAGCTTTTTCCACCACAGCACTTCCTTTGTAATTATTGGTGACATGGAAATGCAAGAAACTGAGAGAGAACTGACAACAAAAGGTTTGCATATAACCAACTCTGAAACAGCCTACAATATGGGCAGATGCTGTGCTAGTGTCTCAAAGTTACCACAAGTATTAGCGATGGAATAATCACCATCTAGTGGTATATGAAGGCATTTCACTTTCCCTAGTCTCAGTTGTTTCTTTGGTTTATTGAACTAGGTTCAAAACAACCCCATTATTATCTGAGCACTCTTGGCACTTTTTTCCAGGTGTGTTCGGCTGAACACAGCAGATTGCAGCATTCCTAAAGGATGCAAACTGTGACAGGGACAACTCCAGTCAGAAGCTGCTTCTTCAATATTTGAAGATTGAATTGGGGAGAAATTAACAAAAGTTAGAGTGTTTGGAGTTTGAAGGTATGTGAGATTTCTGCTCTGCTGCAGAATTTTTAGCATCAAAGAACTGAATGCAACATCTATTTCCCCATTTCTGTGCCCCTACCAGAATCTCTAAAAGCCCCACCATAGCCTTAATTCACGTGTGCCAGCAGGAGACTATTTGTTTTCCCATGTTTTCATCATGCAAGGAACACAGATTGAACACAGGAAATCCAGGTGATGATTGACAAGTAGCCAGATGCATTACTAAACACAGACAAAGTAGCTAATGAATCCTAGAGTTGAAATGACAGGACAAGTTACATGGCTACCTCAGATAGAGGCTAGTAAGAACTTGTCCTACAGATGGGGCTAAACAGTGGTTTAACAACAACCAAAACCAGCTACTTGGAAAGCAGAGACAGAACTTTATGCTGTCTGAAACAGGGGCAAAAATGTAAGAGCTTCCTAAAAAATATATCTGGGCCATATTTCTCATAACTCCACAAATAACCTGCAGATGCAATACCCAGTGATACACAGAAATCACGGTTGTGTCTGGACATGTAGCCAGATAGACAACTAACTGGCCATTTACTTGTGCAAAACATCCAGTTTGGGTACAAATGCACAATAACAGTCCATGTGCACCCCAAATACTGTGCAATTTTGAAATTGCAGTCCTTGGTATCTGCAAACCCTGCCATAAACCTAGTAAGAACATCCAATACAGACTCCAAACACTTTAAACGTGTGATCCAACTGCAACATCAACTGCAACTTCATCCCCAAAACATTTTATATTCTGTGAGCAGCAACTACTTATCTATTTCTTGGTTTAATGTACACATCTTTAAGACACCTATGTACTTCTTTGAACACAGTTCAGTTTGGCACCCCCTTTTGTTTGTTATTTTCCCTAGTTAGATCATAAGTATTAAGTGTTGCATGATTTCAAGCAAAAGTGAGCCTACAGCCCAGAAGCGTGCACTTGGAAAGCTTGGGCAGCTGACAATAGTACCTGCTCTGGTTTGATGGGTTCAGTCGTTGTGAAAATGTCAGAATAATGTTGCCTCTCGAAGACTCGATCCAACACTTCTAACTGCTGCTGAGTGAAAAGATCTCCTCGCATCTGCTTCCGAAGGAAATCTCTACCCGGGAGGGAATGGCCATTTGGTACTGGAGATTCCTGAATACCTTTCAAAAAGGACAAAATATACAGAAGAATAAAAAGGAATTACAAGCACAGACATAACACTGAAGCATCTTGCTTTGTTCTACTGTGTCTTTTGATTACATGTGGGTATCAGTATGTTAAAAGGACAAAAGAGACTCTCCAGGGTTAAGAGCAAGTTGTATTGGTGCAGAAGATACTCTGTTGTGTATTTTCTGACAACAGATCTTTAGCACAATGTGTTAAGCACATTGTGTCACTACTTTTGCATGTGGTCATAAGATGCTGTAAAAACTTGCACCAAAAGGTATAAATTGACATTTTCTGGTAGAAGGTGCCTTTATCCTGATACTTAGCAACACACGGTACAGGGGTCTGAAGACAAAACAGAACGCACAGTATCTATTTGACACCACAGCCAAACTGACTCTCATCTTTAACTATTTGAAAAGTCATTTTCTATGCTCAGAACGACAAATGTGGGTTGCTCTCGTTGTTACCATATTTATAATTCCTACAGTTTCAGAGCTGCAATGAACAGCAGCAGAACTGCTATGTAATTTGTTGTACTAAGCAAATTGCAATAGGCCTGCATTTTTTCAGTTCCTCAGTCACACACACACAAAAATATATGTCTCATTGCTTCCTCCATCAGTACTGTATAGGTGTCACAGACAGACTGCAAGCATAATTTTTCACTGATGACTTTCAATCTCGTACTTAGGTTTGCAATCTAATCCATTCATAGCAATGGGGTAGGAAGGCCAAGAAGAAACCTAGCTGCACTCAGCACTACCTTTTGCAGGCAGGCAATCCCAGAACCACTAGCACTGACCATTGGAAGCCGTACTACCAAAGGGTGCACTGCCACTGGCCAGCAGAAATCCTGACTACACCCTCATGGGGTCTGGCATGCTTGCCTTGCGGGCTCCTGCCTCACAATCCAGCCTTGGGACCAGTCCAGCCTTTTCATCTTCACTGTATCTGATGGCAGTAATAGAAAGTTAGATTTGTCAGGATCAAGGTGGGTTTTCAGGGTCAATCCATTTGGCAGACACCGGCTAAATTCTTTAGCCATACTGACAGGCAAAAGATTCAAAACCAATGTGTCAGTCCCCAAAAATCACAAAAAATATTTAACATTTAATAAGCTCTGGGTTGTTCTTATTTGCATTTTTGGTTTCTGAGGCTTTAAAGTGGACTCAGTTGCCTTTTCAAGTTTTTCCCTGCCACCATGTGGACTAGACATGTACTTCTTTTATGAAATGGAACCTGAGGTTCTCCAATATTCATGTGATTCCAGAAGCTGGGATGTTAGGGGGAAAACACCAGATATTATGAATCTTGCAATGAAATTGTGAGGGCTGTCCACTCTGGGTTACCAAGAAAACTGAGCAAATTTGAAGCAACGGAACAGGTATTAGTGATGGTTTGGAGCTATATAAAGTGAATACACTCTATAAGGCAAGAGTTTATCTATAGTTAAGATGATTTCCCTCATGAAAGTCATCAGCAATACTACACATTGGCAATTGTTGCTACAGGTTCTGTATCAATTAAATTTTCTGATGGCAAGAGTCTCTTCAATAAATCCTCTTCTTGTAAGCCCCAGGCCTGCCTCCCCCCTTGCTCCCACCATTGAAGTCCGTAAGAATATAATAAAAGAAAATAAGAATTTCCATATTGGGTGCATCCAGATGAGCATGCACATGCAGGGGTGTGCATTTGCTGTGGCACAAAAATAGCAGTGGCACCCTCTTCTTGTAAGCCCATGAACATGGGGTTAGTGCAGGACAAAATGCTCCACTTCAGGAAAATGGCCATTTTCTGGCCCCCAGCATGCTAGAGGAGCTGGGAAACAACTAGAAAAGAGGAGATGCTCTAGCCAGCAGCCAGAGCATCTCCCTGGAGGACTGAGCCTCCATGCCTGCTGATGCACGCTCCTGGAGTGTGTGCCATGCCACTTTTTTTTGCAGAAATTGTTTCTGCCACCAGGATTTCCTGGTGTCAAATTTTGGCACAGTGCTACAAATTAGCAGTCTGGTAAATGGTTGCACATGCGCTGCATGCAGTTTGCTGTGCCTCAGATAACTCTGTGGTGCTGCAAACTGTACATGCGCACATGGATGGAGGCACCCACTGGGCGTGTCCAGATCAGCATGAACATGTGGCATGCAGCACCAGACATGCAGGCATTCCCCACACTGCTACTTTGCGGCATGTGTGGATTTTTCGACCCCAGGAGATCCCGGGGTCAAAAAACCCATGTGTAAAAAAAGCAGGGTGGTATACATGGCAGCAGTGCCTGCCACCCAAAACTGGAGTCTGGCCAGTCAAAGCCACACTCCAGCTACCAGCAAGGCTCCCTGTTGCAGGACAGCCATGGCTGCATCTCCTGGAGGCTCTCAGGACCCCAAATAAGGCTGCTGAGGCCAGCACAGTTGATGGTCCCAGCCTCGCCTACCCCACCTGGGGCAACATGCCACGCTCTAGAGTGTGCATGGCACAGGCATTCCCCAGAGACAGGTAGCAGCAACACAATGTGTACCACTGCTACTTGTACCCAGGGAAACGCATGTTCCCACTTGTGGGGATATGCCCACTGAGTCCAAACTTCCTAGTTACCAACCATCATACAGTAATGGATGTCCTGAGCCTGAGGTTCTATCTATGACTATGGTGTTTCCATACCCCAACCTGGGTCTATCCTCTGTAAACTTGTTTAATCTCACTTTTAGCCTGATTATACGATTGGCCTCCGTGATGTCTTGTGGTGGTGATCACCACAGATTGGTCTTGTCTACTTTTTCTATATAATTTGTGGTTTCATAGGTCTCTATCATATACCCCCCCTCCCCGCCATCTTTTTTACATTAGATTCTATATCACCTATTGAGCATCTAAGTGGACACAGGCACCTAAGTGCAATTCTGTTCCACCCAGTTTGAGTCATGAAAATCCATTAATGCAACTAATTCTGTAATAGTCTTTAGGGTAGGATGACAGTGTGAGTTACAAAAAAAGCAGGAAGGAGAACCCACACACCTTTTGCATTAATAGTTTTTCAGGGACTTGAGCAGGGTGAAACTGAATCATACTTAGACACCTACATCCACTTAAGTGCCTAGCAGTTAGAATAGAATCTGGCCCCTAGTCTTTTCAGACTCTCCTCCTAGGAGATCTTGGAGTCCTGGGGAAAGATCATTATGAAGTTGTGGGAGACAGACCAGGTACCAGAGGACTGGAAAAGAGCCAGTGTAGTGCCCTTGCCTTTAAAAAAAGGCAAGGAGGACCCAGGAAATTACATGCTGGTTAGCTTCATCTCAATGCCTGGGAAGTTGCTGGAGCATATCCTAAGAAGAACTATTTGCAAGCATCTGGAGGAGAAAAGGCTGATCACAAGCATCCAGCATGGATTTCTGAAAAACAAATCATGTCAAACAAACTTGATCTCCTTCTTTGACAAAGTAATTGCTTGGGTGGATGAAGGGAATGCGGTAGATATAGTGTAGCTGAACTTCAGCAAGGCTTTTGACCAGGTCCTGCATGACCTTCTCAAAAACAAATTGGAGAAATATGGGCTGGATAAAACTCCTACAAGGTGGATAGATAACTGGCTCAATAGCCACAAGCAAAGGGTAACTATTAATGGATCCATATCATAATGGCAAGAGGTTTTGATTGCAGTCCCACAGGGACTGGGCCTGGTGCTGTTCAAAGTGTTTATTAACTCAGTACAAGTCCCCAGTGTGATCCAGCTGTACAAAAGGCCAATGCAGTTTTGGGATGCATCAATGGAAGTATAAGTACAAGACATGGGAAGTGATAGTGCCTCTCTACTCAGCACTGACTGGGCCTCATCTGGAGTACTGCATGCAGTTCTTGGCTCCACAATTTTAAGAGGATGTGGAGAAATTAGAAAGGGTCAAGAGGTGGCCAAAAAAGATGATCAGGGGCTTGGAAGGCAAATTATGAGGAGAGGCTAAATAAACTAGGCATGTTCAGGCTGCAGAAAAGATGCTTATGAGTGAACATTATAGCAGTCTTCAAATACTTGAAGGGCTGCCATAAAGAAAAGGAAAACACCTTTTCTCTCTTGCTGCAGAAAGGAGGATGTGAGCCAATGGCTTGAAGTTGCAACAAAATTCATTTAGATTGGATATCCAGAAAAAAATTCTTCACTGTGAGAAAAGTGAGGCAGTGAAATAGACTACCTAGGGAAGTTTTGGACTCTGTCTATCACTGGAGGTCTTTAAGAAGAAGTTGGACAGTCACTGGTTGGGAATGATCTAGGCACAGCTATGCCTGTTTTCTACCATGGGTATTTCCCATGCCTTCTGGGCTTTGCTGGTTGCTCCCACCCCACCCCCCTGCTTCCTTGTTTCTGCTACATGTAAGTGTTATCAAGCCTCCCTATAGGCATTGGGTGTTGGCTATAGCTGAGACTAGGTACTTCAACTGGTGTGTTCTGATTCTCTTGCTAGGAGCAAAGCCAAATGTTCCTGGCTAGAGGGTCTTGCCCCTCTGCTCAGGGTCAGACTGATTGCCGCATTTGGAGTCAGGAAGGAATTTTACCCCATGGTTAAATTAGTACAGAGTGGGAAGGTGGGGCGGCCTTCCTCTGTAATGCGGGGTGTGGCCCTCTGCCCAGGATGTCTTGTGAATATATTGACAACATTTTATAGAAGCAGAACATTGGCTGTTGGGGTTCCCTTGCTTTACCTGTGGCAGGTTAGGGTCGAGTGTTGAGGGTAGTCTTATGTAGAATTTAGAGTATGGTTGTTTGGGATGGCTGGGATAGGGATGACCCTGCCTCAGGCAGGGGTTGGTCTAGATGACCTCTGAGGTCCCTTCCAGCTCTACTTCTCTGTGACTCTATGAGAGATGTTCACTCCCCTGATCATCTTTGTTACCTTTCTCTTTACCTTTCTTCTACCTATACTATATTCAGCGTTGTAGTAGGGCAGAGTGAACAGGGCAATTTTTCCAGGCACTGACTTGGTGGCAGAGGGGCAGGTGCAAA